ATATGAGAAAGAGCACTCCTTCGTTCCAAGTTGTTACGAGGCCTGTTCTGATTTGGGCGCTGATTCTGATAACCTCGGCCACGAGTTCGCTGATTTGCCAAAGAAGCGACATAAAGTTATGGATATGGTGCCCTAGGCGCAATTGTCTGTCCCGCATAACAAGACACAAAAGATGAAAAACCAACATATTTCACCGATTCATCTCGAGGATACTCAACATCTGGCATGATTTCATTGATCACAACTCCTTCTTCAGTTTGGTAGCTACAGAGAGATTCAGTTTCACTAGTGTGACCGCCCGAAACAATCTGAATTTTCCCAATTTTCACGGCATGCTCGATGCGTTCTCCTAATCTTACCAATTCAGAGAAATTTGGCGCATTTCTAAGCATTCTTTCGAAGTACGGGCTCTCCAGGGAGTCTACAAACATGCCCATTAACTCTCGGTCTAGAAGCGGTGGATGCACTCTGGCAACAAATTTTCTCCATCTCTAAACATACTTCCTGAAGGGTTCATTGTTCTCTTGAGACAATTCCTGCAACTGCATGCGACTAGGAGCCATGTCTAGGTTATAATCCTACTGTTTCAGAAAAGCTCTAGCTAAATCCACCCATGATCGGATCTTATTACTCTCTAACTGCATATACCAACTCAGAGATGCCCCAGTCAGACTATCCTGAAAGTAGTGAATCATCAACTTGTCATTTTGCACAAACGAAGTCATTCTTCGGCAGAACATCACCAAATGTTGCTTCGGACAACTATCTCCTCTGTACTTCTCAAATATCGGCGCTCTGAACTTAGGAGGCAAATCCAGACCAGGAACCAAACACATGTTTGCAGCATTGAGGTCGACAACATCTTTAACTTTCAAGGCTTCGACTCCTTCTTCCAACACTCGGAGCCTTCTATCATACTCAAGAGCTCTTGGGTCTTCAGTCCTAGCTACCGGGATCTCTCTTCGGATATTCGCCATAGGGAAAACAACACCTTGACTGTTAATAAGAGGAGGGCGTTCATTTCGGCCAACAAACTGCTCACGTTGATCTCGGTTCCTAACCGGAGGTTGCACACATTGGTCTGCAGTAACGTTGTTCACTTGCGGAAAGTTTGCCTCAGACGTAGAGCCATACAGAGGATTGGTCGTCATAGTGAAACCTGTCAAGGTGTTACGAGACTGGAAGTGGCTCTCAGACATAGCTACCAATAACCTTCAACTGGCTTTACTGCTCGATTCTGCTCAAATCTGCTTCAACCCCTTGGTCGTCTTCTAACAATCAACGGTCGCTCAGGACAAACACCGGATAATCACCTTCAGAATCAAAACAACGGTTGGATCAGACTCTGGCTAGCTGGAGAATGATATGCAATATGATGCAACAATGTTCATGCAAATGCAATGCAAGATGCAGCAAACACGGGATCACAACCCCCCACAAATCTCTGAATACTGCTGCGCTACTGACTGAGTACGTTCGCTCTGAAGAGAAGACCACAATATCGGGTTGTCTGGAAGTCAAGTTTCCTGCAAAAACCCTCCCACTCACGGGTATGGCCCTAAACTGACACAAGGTACGGCATCCTATGCGGTCGTTGGCGTCACAGACTTTCAAGACTGATGATACGATACCCAAAAGGTGTGGCATCATCATATCCTGAAGAGGCCTCACTTAGCCAACTTCCAAATGATCGGTTCCCAGAGTCGACAATCTAACTAACCAACAACCCCTTCAACCCAAAGGGTTGAAAAAGAAGTCAACCAGAAGAACCTCGTCTGAGCATGGATTTCATGGGACACTAGTGCCTGCAAAGCAAGCACGCGCCCACTAATTTCCACAACTAATTCTAAGGTGCACTCAAGCCTGGGTCTGGCTTCTCACTCATCAGGAACACCCCACCCAACAGCACAACATCAACAGATAATAGCAAAGGTGCGAAAATTGTAAATACAGTAATATACAACACCCAAAGGGTAAACACCCAAAGACGATCAAACAAGCGCTAGGATCGACTCTCTTAAAGGACGTTGGATCCCAAATGCATAAGGAACCGTCGCGGTCCCCAGCAGAGTCGTCAGCTGGTGCTACTGCAAAATTGGATCTAGTGGCTGTTCTTGATGAATTTTCCGGTGAGGTTGAAGTTCACGGTGTGGTTTCCGGCGAAGTTGAGTGAAGAGGATGCATGGAGAGGACGATGGTGGTTGATGAAGTTCATGATGAAGATCTGAAAATTTGCAGTTTCCGGTGGGTGGTTACGGTGAACGGTGGTGGTTGCATGGCCGTTACCGTTACCGGTGACGGTTGCATGGCCGACGACAGGGTCTCCGGCGAGGGACTGGTTGGAGACAGGTGGAACGCATGCGGAGAGGGTTGGTGGAGGGGGCTACGCGTGGCAATCATGCAAGCAGAGTGTGAGTGCATGAGGGACACGTGGGAGGAGAGAAGACAGTGGAGGAAATGAGGTGGTGGTGAATGCTGAGTGGAAAAAATGAGGTGGAGAGGAGAGAGAAACACGTGTGGCTCTGTTTAAATAGTGACACATGGCACAGACTCTGGACTTGGGCCTCCACAAAATGAACACGCGGCCCACTAAATAATGAAAGGATTAGTTTTAATTAATGATGATTAATGCTAATGAAACGAAATGTTTATTAATACTATCTAATGAACTCTAATAAAAAAGATTAAACTCAATTAATGAACTAACTAATTAAATCGAAAATTAATTGAAACCTACTTAATAAAAGCTAACCCTAATGCATTAAACTAATCTAATTAAAGCTAATTAATAAAGCTAATCAATTAAATCTAAAAACATCTATTTAAATTCTATATTAAAACTAAAAATCTATTAAAAATCTATATCTATTTATTTTAAAAAAGAAAACCTATAGAAAACTATCAAAAATTCCTATTTAATATCTAGAAAAATTCAATTAAATCTATTAAAATCTATTAAAAATCTAGAAAATAAAAGGGAAAATTCTAAAAAATGTCAGGAAGCCGATTAAATCGATTAGAGAACAACTGCACAAATATAGCGAAATAAGCAGTAAAAAATCGGACACCGAGATATCCTCAAAAACAACAGCGAGAGCTGAAAACACCAGGATGAGCACAAATTCTCAAAATACACTTATTCGAACTGGCCTGAACTGCCTGAAACGCCAGGGGAGGCTGTAATCCCGATAAAATCAGTCTGACTGCAAAAATGAAATGGATGCGGTATGTAAATGCGAATGCAAAATGCGTCGAAACATAAACCAGATGTGGGAACCGATTGGTCAAATTTTGGGGTGCAACACTTAGGAATCCTATGAATCATCAGACTCTCATAGGAATCACATTACTCATCGGACTCTCCTAGGAATCCTATCACTCATCAGACTCTCCTAGGAATCAACAGCACAAGAATGTACTTCAAGATGCTTCACATGCAAAATGACTCCATACACTTCTTGAAATGCATACATGTTTACAAACATACTCATGCATTCTTCACATTCATCGCATATATTCATTATGCATTCACAATATATATACATATCACAATGCATATATACATATTCATCATTCGATCTCAACATGCATTTCTATTCAATTCAAGTAAATGCAGCAAATTGCCTAACGGCCACATTCCACACTTTACAAATCACAAACTAGGATTCACGCCATACGGCTACCCACAACACATATAACAGCCTATAATTAGTCATCTCAGACAAGGAACGATTGCAACCAAACCACACCATCAATCCACGAATGGAAAACACAAGAAAAGAAAACATGCTGCTATGTTCGCTAACCTTTGCCTGGCGAAGCCTCTGGCGAACCTTCGCTACTCCGTTCGCCTGGCGAACTTGCTAGCGAAGACCACTGGGATTTATTCTGGAATTACTCGCTAGCACACTCGCTTGGCGAACCTTCTCCACTCTCATTCGCCTGGCGAACTTTCCAACGAAGACAGGGTGGATGCTTCTGACTTGGTTCGCTGCTGCTCGCTGGGCTTCGCCTGGCGAACCTGCGAACTCAGAACTCCCATGGCTGTCCAAAAAACCCAAACCTCATAACCCGACCGATTTAATCCAAATCAGTTTCAGTAGTACAACCCACTCATCACCCGACTATACTACACCGTCTATTCCAAATTCTAACCGATAAAACTCAGTTTCTACTGATTAAATCAACTTCTGACCTAGAAATGGAAACATAGAAAACAATCCAATACATCCAAACTAGCACATACATGATCATACACATTATAAAGATGATAAAACTTCTCACCCTTACCTGATTAACCGCAGGCTAGGATTTGATCTTGATGTTTTCCAAAGTTTCCTCTTCTTTCTCTCCTCTTTCTCTTCTCCTTCTTTCCTTACTATCTTTCTTTCTCTTCTATTTCCTCTTTAATATCTTCCTATTATTTTTCCCAAAACATCTACTAACTCAATATCTCATAAAATATCCAACTTATCATTTAAATAGGAAATGTCCAAAATACCCTCCAACTATTTTCTCCGAAAACTCCCAAAATCGGGTAAAATAGAATAATATGTAAACATAACATATTTCCACGAAAATTCCACATCAAAATAATATTCACCCAATTACAATAAAAAGGACTTAATGAAAAAGGGATAATCGAAATCGGGGCGTTACACACCATGCATGTGTTAAGACAATGAGTGTTGGACCGAGAGACTTGATGGAGCTATTATAGCTCATGAACTGTTTACCGTAATCATCCCATAACGCAACCTCAATAATATTTCCAGCTTCATCTTGCAGAGTGATGTTGGCACATGATTTCTTACCACCACCGCTCATCTGTGTCTTGACAACATCTTGTAAAACCCCAATGACATCTGTAATATACGAGAATGAGAAAAGTCACAATGTTTTCATGTGTATGATATGTAGTTAGATCAATATGTATTTAGTAGGACAAATAACAATATACACCATATGTATAATATCAATAAATCTCACCATATAAGAGATCAGTGATGAAAATTTCCAGTGAGAAAGTCGACAATCGGCTTAAACTTATATTGATGTGTCGGTATTTCGGGTATTGGCAATTTTGAAACAGTCGTTCCTCCATTGAAGACAAGTTTTAACTTGTTGGGAAAAACTTTGAAAGTGCCATGATTAAGCATTGACTCTCCATTGTAAAGGCAATAAGTCTCATGTTCAGTTAGTTGTTCAGACCAGTCTTTTAACTCACGGTTCCGAGTTGTCACATGGATTTGATCACCCTACAAAGTGGCTAAAGATTCAACGATATGAACAATAATAATATACAAACAGAGCAGGTAACAATTACCTTTGAATCTTGAATCACCATTTTGAAATGATGCAGTCCACTTTTCTCCTTCACAATCCAAAGATCAACAACTCTAATGAGCATTTTTCAAACATGTTTGCCTTTCACCAAGTCCTTGATGAGTATTGAAGGTCTTGACATGGTTGCTTAGAAATATAACACAAAATAAATTGCTCAGGTGAATGAACATATCTCAGTATTCATAAACCTTACAACTTGATAACTTCATAAATAATTTATGTGTAACCAAAAACAATATATTAACGAAAACATGTTCTCATGAAAATAACTTGCATATTTAATACTTAATACTAAAGTTTAAACCAAAGAACTTACAATGTATGCATATTTCTGAGTTGGAACTTGAGTATATGTATGAATATCAATAATATACAACATAAATATGAGTTGGTACATGCATAAGAATATATCTCATATTGAAACCAAACATAACACATAAATAGAAACATAGTCTTTTTCAAAGAAAAAACATGTAAAACAACAATGAAAACGTGCAAAACTGCATCACCGGATCCACAAAAATGCATGACAGGACTCCATTTTTATTATCAGTAACATTAAAACAACAAAAAATGAACCAAATGAATCATATAATGTTTTGTGCGGGTTAGAGGTGAATAGCAAAATGAGCAAAAACGAACCTGAAGAGTTTGTATTCTTGTTGAGAGAAGTTCGATGACAGCAGAATGAACAAAGTTAAAAGTGCTTTGAGTGAAGATTCATAGACAATAAGTTGAAAGGTTTCAATGTATATTGAAGTACGTGTACCTCAAGTTCACCAAATGAAAACGTGTGAGTAGGTTTATGTGGAGAGGAGGGGAAAAATTTATGCTGCATTGAATAGATGAATGACACATGGCAAGAAAAGAGGGCATTGAATCAGAATTTATTTGTCATTTAATTGATTACTCTTGTGTATTTTTTGTAGTGTGATTTATTTAAAAGGAAATGGTAGTTATGGAATCTTGGACAATATGTTTTTGAAGTGTTGGTAGTTGATATCTCAGTCGAAAGATAATGCAATGCTTATCGATCTTCCTCTATTTGAGAATATTCAAGCTATTATTTTTACACCTTATTCAAATGGTGCTTTTAAACTAGATTATTTTAGAGCTTTCTTCTTTCAACGTTATTAAAACATTATTGTCAGTGGTATTGTCAAAGTAGTCTTACAATATTGGAAGGCTGGTTATTTTTAATTATAATTTTAATAGTGTTCTGGCCTGGGCCCCGGCTTGGCCACGCTGGCCCAACCCAGTAATATTCTGCCAAGCCCAGTCCAGCTTGGGCCGCAGCGCCGGGCACGGGATCCCCGACGAGTATGAAATGTCCCTCTGCGGGCAAGACCTGCCCCATCGACCAAACGATGCCCTCTCCGCGGGCAGAACCTGCTCCTTGGTCGGGCAAGACAAACATGTCCTTCACACGTTCTCCACGTGCTCCCCTCCGCGGGGACATGTCACCAACCAACTGCCCACCTCCGAAAGAGCAGGTAAAACCCACTTTCCGGAGATCACGAGACAGCTGGACTAGGGCGAAGACCACGTCCTGGTCTTCACTACGCCACGTAAGCCCTAGAGTCACCTGGGTTGGGCCTGACAATCCAGCCCAACACAAGTGACCGTTGGCCCAGTGCTGGGGTCTCTCTATAAATATCCTATTTCACAAGAGGGTCAGGTAATTCACTTCTTACCCCTTTTCTGTATTTGCTGTCACTCTGTCTCATCCCTTACTTTGGCATCAGAGTGTCTTGCAGGTATACCCCCTCCTCATCCTCATCACCGGTGAACCGGCAGCAGCCCAACAAAGTGTGGCCAACTAGTGATCCTCTTCTGATCAGGTTAGATCAAATAGTGTTGTGCTTATTTCTAAAATTTGAGAAATTTGTCTAAATATTTTTTAATTTTTTTAAATATAATTCAATTTTTAAAATATAGATTCATTTGAGCTCATTCAAGAAAATCATAATTAATGAGTGTTTTATTAGAAATGCATAGCTAAATTTTACGAAGGAATTAAATACGAAGGCAAAAATGTATCACTTAAATAAATTTTAAAAGAATTAAAATTATCATTATGTTTTTAGTGAAAAAACTATAAGTAGTGTGCATCTACATTTCAATTATTCTTGCACTTCTTCACTCATTATATTTATAAGAAAGAATATTCCCATTTTTAGAAATTTGTAAATGAATTTGTGATTTATGAAAATGATACAATGGTTTTATTTTCGTCCATGCATGTTCCAAGTTTAACTTACGAAATCTAATGTATTTAATTCAATTTTAGATCAATATTTATTGGTTAGATAAATATTTATTGGTTAGATAAATATTGGTCAGATGGGAAATCTAATGCATGTCACAAATCACTTTTAAAAGAATTAAAGTTATCATTTTATTTTTAATCGAAATCACAAACAACTAATTAAGAATATTTATAATTTAAATTATTCGCGCGTTTTTTCGTTGCTATATTTGTAATATTAGTTATTATTTTATTTTTAATCGAAATCAAAAACAACTAATTATAAATATTTATAATTTAAATTATTTGCGCGTTTCTTCCATTACTATGTTCGTAAAATTATTTATTATTTTAATTTTAATCAAAATCAAAAACAACTAATCATAATATTTATGATTCAAATTATTCGCGCGTTTCTTCTATTATTATATTTATAAGATTTTTTTTTCTTTTAGAAATATGTAAATTAATTCGTGACATTTGCACATGATAGAGTGATTATATTTTCGTCCATGTTTCAAGTTCAGCTTACAAAATCCAAAGTATTTGTTGGTAAATAAATATGATGATATTTTGCCAGAAAAACAAATATCTATAAATCTAACTACAGTTTTAAACTGATTTGGTGTTTTGGCCCAACCCGTTTGAAACAAGCGACTATTCCAATTTTGAATCGTTATAAATTTTGAGGTGAATATAAATTATAATTTCTGACCCTCCCTCACGTTCAGTAACCTTTCACCTCTTACTCCAAACTAAACCCTAATTTCAATTTTCGCCATGGGAAAGAAACGCTCTCAAATCGAGAAGCTTCCCACCCCCGCTGCCCCCAAAGACGACGAGCCACCCACCCCTGTCTCCAAAGACGACGAGAAACTGAAACCGTCTTCTCCAATTTTCGAAGACAAAGTGGGAGATTCATCCTCAGCTTCTTCTTCATCTGAAGCAGCAGAAGATGATGAATACGAGGAGGACACACCTTCCAAAAACTCAATTCCACCTGCCAAACCTCATCCCAAAACTGAAGACGATTCAGACTCTGAAGACGAGGAAGAAACTGATTCAGAAGATGAACCAGCCCCAAAACTTAAATCCCTCAACGCAAACTCAAAGCCTGTGGATCAGATCAAATCAAAGGCCGACTCCAAACCCGCACTGGCCAGATCTGGAATCAAACGTCCTATCGACAGCGATCCCAAACAAGCAAAGAAGAGAAAAACCGCGGCTGAAAAAGAGCCGGAAGAGGACAACAAAAAGTCCGGTGATGATTCTAAGAGGTTGTTTCAGAGAGTCTTCACCGAGGAGGATGAAATGGCCATTATCAAAGGTATATATGATTACATTACCGAAACAGGAAACGATCCATTCAAGTACCACACGGCTTTTTACGAGTTTGTGAAAAAGTCTATTCATTTCAAAGTTACACTGGAGCAGCTCAGAGATAAGATGCGGAGGCTGAAGCAGAAATACCAGAAATACGAGACTAAAGCCAAAGCCAAGAGTGGGAAGACTCCTAATTTTTCGAAAGCTAACGACAGGATAATGTTTGAATTCGGGCAAAAGATTTGGGGTGGTAAACTCAATGTTAATGAAGCTGAAGAAAAGGGAAAACCTAATGGGAAACTTTCCAAGAAGGAACCTGCTGCTAAGAAACCAAGAACAACTAAGAAATTGGTTTTGGAACCGGATTCGCCGCTGCCTGTTGTCAAGGAAACCAGGAAGGTGGAAAGTACTGATACTGAGAATCCCGGTTCTGGTTCGAGTCTGGCTTTGAATGAACTGATTCGTTTTGACGAGAGTGTAAGTGGCTCTGGGAAGACCTTGCATGCGATGAAGAGGGGATTGGAGTTGTTGGGGGAATCAAAGAAGGAAGAGTTCGGGAGAAGGTGGGAGAAGGTGCAGGTTGCTGAACTGGAGGTGTTTAAGATGAGAGCTGATTTAGCTGTGGATCAGGCTATATCGATATTGAATGCATTGAAGTCATCATCAAGCGATTAGGTTCATTGTTATAGGCAGTGTTGGTTTATTGTGGTTATATAACTTTGGTCTTTGATTTGTGTTCAGATGTTTTTTGGCTATGGTGTAGTGATACTTTAGTTTACTGTAGTTCTGCTGTTTAATTACTTATCTGTTGAAATTAGTATTGTGGTTTTAGAACTCAATGGGTTATTTATGAACACAACATGCAAATGCTATGCACATATTGTGTTGTTGTGAAGTATTGGTATAGTATTATGGAAATCTGGTTGGAGACATGATATGAAATCTGAGTTTAAATATTTGTTGCTTGCTTTCCCGCGGTCTATCTGCCATATATGTTAACCTCGCTTTTCCGCGGTCTATCTGCCATATATGTTAACCTTGCTTTTCCGCGGTCTATCTGCCATATATGTTGACTCGCTTTCCCGCGGTCTATCTGCCATACATGTTGACTCGCTTTCCTGCGGTCTATCTGCCATATATGTTAACCTCCCCTTCCCGCGGTATCCTGCAGTTTTTTCTGCGGTCTATCTGCCATGTATATTAAATTGCTTTCCTGTGGTCAGGTGCCATGCGGTGCTGTTCTGGATATACTACTCTAGTATGAATATTTATTGCTTGTGTTCTTTTAACTTTTAACTTTTATTTGATGATCATTACGTATCAAGGTGTGTTTGAACCCTTGTTTGTGTTCTTTATTCTGGATATACTACTCTAGTATGAATATTTATTGCTTGTGTTCTTTTAACTTTTATTTGATGATCATTACGTATCAAGGTGTTACCCTTGTTTGTGTTCTTTTAACTTTTATACGAGGATCATTAAGCATCAGATCTACTGGTGGTGTTTGAATCCTTGTTTGTGTTCTTTCAACTTTTATACGAGGATCATTATGCATCAGATCTACTGGTGTTTGAACCCTTTGTTGCTTGTATTCTTTCCACTATTATATAATGATCATTATGTATCAAGGGTGTTTGAAGGATTCACATTTTGGTATTCTTGTGTAGTTACAACTCACAATCAACCAAGCAAAGAAAACACATCAATGTCTCACAATCAACCAAGCAAAGAAAACACATCAATGTAGGGATTGAGAAAACCAGTGTGGGATTATATATGTTTGTATGTGCTTTGGCCTTTGATTCCCAATCTCGATTTCTCTTAATCTCATGGAGTGAATGAATATATCAACTATGGAGTTTTGAAACGACTGAACGTGTCCTTTCCCCTATCACCTCTTCACCTCGACTGCCTTTGCCTTTGTCTATGGAATGCTTTGATTATCTCGAAACCATTTCAATCATTCATACCACCCATTTTATCACGACATTTTGCATTTCCATCCTTTGAAACCACCAAGGTCTCCTCATCTCTGGGCCTTGAATCTATCACAACACCGGTGACATGTGACATGTCCCACTAATATGAATGTCCATATAACAAGGACATTATTATCGTAAAAAACAACGTAGTTCTTAACTGATTTATCTCTTTCCATAATTGAGCACCCACTCCCCAGCGAGTTCATATTTGAGTGACCTTAGTGCTGCACACCCCTAACATTATGGGATCCTAACGCAATAAGATTGTTTATGGATTTGAATGTAACTGTCAAATAATTTTTTAAAAATCCAACTAATCATTTTTCCTCCGGATGAAGTCAAATGAATGTTTTTTATTTTTAAATTCATCTTTTGTTAGTTGAGTATCCATGCTTTACGAAGTGCTAATAAATAAATTACCGGCATAGTATTACTGACAAGAAATTATTATCATATTTAATTCTAATTTACAAACAAAACAAATAGTGTTTCGGACAGACACTTACATTGGATGATAATAAAATAGAGAGCACAACCAATTCGAAGAAATTTTAGTATCGAAACTAAGAAAATGTATGGTAAGGTTAGTTATTATATAACAGTTTTCCTACTTCAAATGCACAACTTCAACAGTAAGACTCTATCTTTTTATATTAATATTGGATTGAATTTAAAAGTAGTGAAATGTTCGTGTAAAAAAATATTACCCAGACATTTAACTAGATTATTTTAAAGTGACAAATTATAACAATATTTTTAAAATAATAGTGTGATGTGGTAGGATACACGTTTGTCATTGACTGACAGTGTAACAATATTCTATACTATCAGTGTATATTTATTTTTTTCTTGAATTTATTCACGGAGAGGAACACATTTAAGAGTTAATATTGAGATATGTGTTTGTAGTGAAAATTTAGAAAGCAACCGTTGATCTCCGAAAAATAGTTTATTTGTAGGATCAACTAGTGAATTCTATGACATAAGTATTGTTTAAATTATTTCTGAAATTTTCAAGAACACTTCGACAACGCTCATGTTTGTAAAAGATTGTTTAAAGTTTGTAAAAGGTAAATTTGCAGAATTATAAAAGATTGTAATAAAAAAACTTCAAAGTAAAATTGCAATGAAGAAATAATTGATAAACTGAAAATAACTTTCAATTGAAATGAAAACATAGTGTTTCAAACGTATATTCTCAACGAAAACTCTTTTCTCAAATAACTTAGATACTTTGAGTGATTTTGCGAGTATTTGTACAACAATTGAACACACAGAAATCCTATGCAATAATACTCCTATTTATAATACGTCGAAAATAACTGTCATCAACGGTCATTCTTTTAGAAAATGACACGTTTTACTTTGCATGTCTTCAATTTGCCACAACTTTACACACGTCATTTCTGAGAAATGGATAAGGACAAAAGACAGTTATTATCCTTATTTGAAATTCAAAACTTCTGTCGAATGAAAGCTCTGTACTGCCACCGTCGAATTTTTCACCCAAACTTAGCAAATATTTCTAAGTGTTCATCCAGCATATCCTTCTCACGAAGCTCACTTCGACCAGGACATTGACACATGTTCTTGTCAAATTCAACAATAACTTAAGAAACACTTGCTTTTATTTATCATCCTCAAACAAAGCCTGACGTCTAAATTTTCAGCCAATAAATTGCCCCCCAAAAATGTCATTTTCGACTAAATGGAGAAAATGACATTTTTTGAAACTCACTTTCGACGCTAGAAACCCTTTATTTGCCATGACGTCATCATCATCATGACAACTTTTCTCAAATGTCTCAAAAACCCAGCGTGAATCTTTATAATCATCACCCACCCAGTCCCTAGGAGATCATGGGTCAGATCAACTGCCACCGTCTCATCATGCACTCTCCAATTGACACGTGTTCCACTATTTATTTCAACCCTCAATGCGTGCAGTAAATCACTTCCACTACATCAGCCTATAAATAGTGAAATCCACTATTTTTGAATCTTTTCACTCTCTGAACTTCTTTGAGCAAGCACTAACTTCTCCAATTCTTCATCTTTCATAAACGTTTTCCCTTCAAACTACTGCATCAATGGCATCTTCCACTAAAACCTCCAAAGATTCAAGCAAGAACACCAAGGAATCCAAGAAATCCATGGAACTCGCTCTAGTTCACAAAATTTTGGGCCCAACAGCGGTAGGTAACCAACAATATATACTTGAACCTGCTCTTGAAGAAGAGAAGCACAAAATATATCAATCTCAAGTACTGATTCCTGTCTCTGTTTCTGGTAAAATGCATGCCATGTTAGATCCCCTTCTAAATCTTTCTACTGATCCTGTTAGACTTAGAGAATTTTTCCATGCGTACCACAGTTACAAGCCCATAGAAAACCGGAAAAAACCTAGGTCTAACGAAGATGCTAAGGCTGATGAAAAGTTGAAAAATGATGGCCAAGGTTCCCCTTCGACTAAAGCCTCCAAAGACTCTATTAACTTTAGGGTATTTAGATCATGCCCCATGTTCAAAGATCCATCAGACTACTTTTCCTGGTTAAAGAAGATGGAAAAAACAAAATCCCAAGTTTGAAAAAACATGGGTATCTTTGACATGATCCAACTGTCGAGGGTTGGACCTGGTTATTTCCCATTTATGCTAATTGCTTCTTTATATTTCTAGGATAACACCCACAACAATTTTCACCTTCCTTGTGGAGTGATGACTCCAACCTTTTTTGACGTTGCTGCCATCACCGGGCTTAAGCCAATTGGAGAAACCTACGACCCTAACTTCCTAGCTGAAGATTCTATAGACTTCGACACCACCAAAGTTTCCTTCACTACTTACATCACATATTACCACGATAAAGAATCTGACGAAGTCTTTGACCAAGAGCATATTGCATTTGTAACGCCTCGATTTCGATTATTCCCATTTTTTTAAAGTCTTTTTGATTTAATTGGGTGATTATTATTTTAATTGTGGAATTGGTGTGTTAATATGTTATGTTTGCATATTATGTTGTTTTACCGATTTTGAGAGTTTTCGGGGAAAATAGATCGGAGGGTATTTTAGACATTTCTTATTTAATGATAAGATGAGATATTTTGTGAGAAAATGGATTAGTAGATGTTTGGAGAGAAATAGAATAGAAAGAGATATAAGTGAAATAGAGGAAAGAAAAGAAAATGATAGAACTAGAAAGAAGAGAAAAGAAAGAAGGAAGAAAAGAGAAGAGGAGAAAATAGAGGAAAAACTTGGATAGCTCAAGATCAACATCTAGGATTCAATTTAATCGGGTAAGGGTGTGAAATCTTATTATTTTCCCAATGTGTATGATTGTGTATGCTTTTGTTGGATTAATTTGGATTGTTGGAGAGTGTTTACTCATTTTCCATTTTTAGGCCGAAATGGTTTAATCGATAGAAACCGATGTTTTAATAGTTAAAATCTGGAATAAGTGATGTAGTTTAGTCAAGGAATGTTAGGCTAAGACTATGGAAACTTGTTGGAATTGAATCGGGTGATTTTGGGACCTTGTGACATTTTTGGGACAGTAGAAGTTTTTGAGAGATCGCAGAGGTTCGCTAAGCAAGCAGCTAGTGAGTGGTTCGCTAGGCGAGTTGCTAGCAAGTGAGTAGAGAATGGTCCCAGACTTGGACAGAACCAAAATGACCCTTGTTCGCTGGAGCGA